CATGACCCCAATATAGAAACCTATAACATCATTCATAATAATACTATATCAATAACTACTACTACTACTACTCTGATTAGTTCTTCAGCCTTAGCAATAAACTCATCAAACCAACTTAATGCAGCTCGATACCTATTATCGATTAGTATAAGGTTAATAATGATAATAATACTCACCTATTACGCATAAGACTCCCACTTGGTAATGTATATTTAGCTTTAGTCTTCTCATCACCTTGTAATCGCCACATATGAGCAACATAGCTATCGAGAGCACTAAGGAGCATGATGATAGTATTAGAAAAAAAGGAGGAGGAGAAGGCTCCATTGTTGTTGGTATTATTGTCATTACTTCATAATCTCTCCACCACATAGATGTATACGTAGACTTTGATCAATATTCTCACCACCCCAGCCAATCATACCAGTATCATATCCTCCTGTATACTCCCACCTATCAACATAATAATCAACAATATTCATACCCATTCATAATCATCATCAATATAATGATAATAATGATAATGAACAACATTATTACATATCCCTATGCATAGCAAGTAATCCTCCTATCATTACAGGTACTCTAGTATCATCTGCATTATACCAAGGGAAATCAACATTCCAAGTTAGTTTACAACATCTGGTAGTACCTATACGTCGGCGGTATCATAATAATAATGAATACAAGAACAGCAAATATTACTACTACCAGGAGGAGTTCTTGTTTCTATCCATGTATTAGGATCAAGACTAGTTACTGTTGGTACTACTACAGTCTTGGAGTTTTCAGATATATATTTACTTATTGGTTTAGTCCTGATTACATCATTATAGTAATCACTGATTAGTAATAGTATCAATATTACCAATAAATATCGGGTTTAACATGACAATCAAGGAATGCTATAATATCACCTGTAGCTTTCCATCCACCAACATTCTTAGCATTTATCAGACCTATACCAGCAGCAGCATTATCAATAACAGAAATAGCAGCCTGTAGCTTTGATATTACCAGTAAAATGTTCATGCCTGATAAACTTCAGTTTCCATAACTCTACTTCCTCATCTAACACAGATTAATATTGTTATTATTGACTATTATTATTGTTATTACCAGTAACTAATGTCCTCAATGGTGGGGAACTACCATCATCTACTACTATTATCTCATGAAGATTCGGTGTCGATTCATATACAGACCTAGCAGTCTTAACCATAAACCTAACAACCAACAGTAACATCATAATCATCATCACCACTACTACTAGCAGCACCAGCAGCAGTAGCAGTATTACTCTCCTTCATTAGCACAAGGTAATACAATACTGTACGATAGGTACGGTTGGATACTGTATGATGAGGCATCGTGCCTACTGATGATGATGATGATGATAGCATGTATGATAATATTACCTAGTCACAACAGGTGGTAGAGGTAGAAAAGCATCATCATCCTCCCTGTTCTGCTGCTGCTGCTTAGGTAGATTAACATCCTTTTTAAAGGAGCCTTCTCTTTTCTTTACATCGATTGATAAGTTATTACTATCCCATAACTTTGTTATGCTGTTCATAGACACCACATGATTATCTTCATAAAGTAATAGTTCAATACCCTGAATACATATAACACAATAAAACCCAACCACCACCACCAGTAACAGGAGGAGGAGCATTACTATTGCTACTACTACTACCTTTACTATCACTAATTGAAGCATCCATACTAGTAGTATACGCCAAGTCCATGGTACTCTAATGATAAGGCTGCTGCTGTTTACTATTAACCCTTCTTGTAGATATAGGAATACTACTATTACTGCTGAACAACATAATCAACAATACTAACATCAGTACTAGACTGTTATTACAGCTTATAAGAAATGATAATAAAGTAGTGGATAGTGGCCAGTGTAGTAATATACTAATGAGTGGTACCATAAATAGTGGAATACACCTCAATACCCATCGTAAGGGTCGTCGTCGTAGTCGTAGTCGTCTGATAATACTACTATCATTATTAGTAGCCATGAGAAGGAGAGGATAAAACTATTCATGATGATGATTAGATATTAACAAGAATCCTACGCCGATATTATTATATAATAGATATGTTACATTGTATTACACAAGTGTCCCTCTAGATTTGTACACAACTGTCTATGGTAACATGTTGTTGCAGACGAGGAGGTATTGGTAGTAGTGATCACGTGTTCTTCTTCTTCTTGCTGTTCACTTTGCTGTGTGTAGTCATCATCATCCAATCATAACATTTTATTACACCTTGCTTTAGATCAAGCTAAGATGAAGGAAGCCCAATTCAGATTTCAGTAGCCTTTTTATAGAGTAGATTGTATTAGAATTACCAATATGAAGTGAATGCCTTTGTGATAATATCTCCAAGCTGTAGATAAAGACTCCACCGCCCTACTACCTCGATTTAAATGGCTCGGTAATAAGAGTTGTAGCTGTTGAGTTCAATAATGAACCCTAATGCTGTCCGAGTTGATATTAATGAAGAACGAATTGTACTATTTCAAGCCCCCTAGACGGCATGATCCCCCTCAAGATACCAATATATACCATCACCAACAGAAGGAGGAGAACCTCCTCGAGAGGTCGTAATCGTCGTCGTGTATGCCAATCCCCCGTGTACACTTATTGTAGATACTCGAATACTAATAATACAAGTAAGACAACAGTTATCAAGATTAGCCAAAATATAATGATGAGTAGCAGCACAAAGGCTTAACGCATTATCTTTACATCCAGACTTCTCCTCCTCCTCCT